GGGGGTCTAGGCCGCTCCGCAAGCCGCGCAGCACGGGAAAAAAAAAGGTTATAGCGGCTATGCCAGTCTCGACCATCAGCAAAAAAGGCTTTTCACTGCTTTGAGAAAGCACGCGCATGTACATTGCCGGACAAGTTCAAGCAACAACCGCCCCTCCTGCCCCCCAGCTGCATGTGAAATCCCAAGGGGAACGTGCCATGTTGCTTTTCTGAAGCATGTTCATGTTCTGAAGCATGTTTTCATGTTGCTTTTTTGTAATGGTGGTTTATAAGTGTATGTTTTTTCCTGATAGTATTGGTGTAAATCTGAGCTTGGGAACAAATAATTTTGCGGTTGTTTCTCCTCAGTGTCATCACAAGTTACAGTCTGTCTTTTCTTTGGAGGCCTTGATCAAGGAGGGAGGCTGGACTAGAAGTGTTGTAAAAAAAGAAACTATAATTAAACTGAACTTCTTACCTGAGAACATAAACTTGGGTGTATTTATTTGTACATGCTCCAGCATTTCTATTTCAAAAGCAGTACTGTGTATTAAACAACACAGTATGATCTTGGTTTAACTTTCCCAGTACCTGCAGGCTTTCTTCAGCTGCATTCTGTATCAGATTGAAATTGGTTGAGAGTGAGAATCTGTTCTTCAATACCTGATTAACACACATTATTATACTTGATGTCTGTGTGTGTGTATGTGTGTGTGTGTGTATATATATATATATATATATATAAAATTTGTGCCTTTGATGCTGCAAAAAACAGTTGCTGAGATAACTGGTTAGTAAACTTAATGGCAAAAGCAAAATCAGAGTACAACAGAAGTAAGTTTGAAATTAAATAGAGCATTTACAACTTTAAAAACCTTGCCAAAGTGAACAGCCACAAAAGCTGAACAATGCTGGAGGGAGATAATTGCCATGAAGAAGAAGAGAGGGAGATCTTCATGAACTTGCCTGGCTGCACCTGAATGTGGGGAGCTGATTTGTGGCCCAGCACACAGCAACACAGGACTTTCAGAAGGAGCCTGGAGAGAAGGCGAGTTGGAAAGAAGTTTGCTCAGCAAGTGAGTTTGATGAAAAGGGAACAAAGGACATTGCTGTTCCAGGAGACATTTGGGAGATACCTCTCTGAAAGAAAACAGCAGTAGAGGGCTTCTTACTGTCTTCTGGGAGAGCACAGTGTGCAACTGCACTCCTTGGGGCTTCGCTCACTAGTCATCAGGATGGTTAAAAAAACGCGGGGCAGCAACTGGTGAGAGAACAGACACTAGTGAAAACCTTCAGTGCTGGGGCTAACTACAAACAAACAGTAAGTTAAACTTTTACAGCAGCTAATTTTTAAAATCGGTTAACTTCATTTTGACTGTTGACTAAAGCGTGTAATAGCTATTCTTCCCCCAAATTCTGAACTTAATGATACCCTTCTCAAATCCTGGGCTTTGCATGGTAAAGAGGAAGAACAGGCTGTTTGAGGCTATCTCAAGAGTCAAGACAGAGACAATAAATGTCCCTTTGGTTTTTTCAGCTTCACAAAGATTATTCTGGTCACTGTTAAGTACTTTTGAGGCCGTTGCATCATGCTGGACAGGCGTCCTGGGCTCTTGGGAGATGGCTGCTGCCACCAGCGTCTATGAATAAGTCCAGTATGCAGCCCAGTCCCAAATTGCCCCCAGAAGCTGTCTTTGCCACACCAGCTGTCTCGGTGGGCTGCTGATTAGGGTGTACTCGCTGTGCTCCACATCAGATTCTGACTTCTGATGTTTGTAGCGTGCGTATATGACTGGGAGACTAAGAAGGCCATTTTGGGAGATC